TGCTTGCAAGTTCTGGCATAATATCCAAGTTGCTTGGATGAGAGTTTGCGCGAGATCATATGACAATTTACTTGGGCTTGAATTTATTTTTAAAAGCCGCTGCGAACCCATCTCTATTTAAACCTCATAATGATATTAGAAGATTCCGCTTACCTTAAGCACGTATATTTCACTCGATGACTATATATAATTATCTATCATTCACTAATTGATAGAGAGTCTCTTCGACATCATATTTGCATGAAATTAAATGCTCCTCAGCAGATGAATATAGTTAATGTATATTTATTAATATGGACCTTCTAAAAGTAAAGAGTGATATATATATATATAAGCTAAAACGCACGGTGCTGCCCCAACAACAAGCAGGAGATAGCAAAGCTATGGTGCGCCGGACGAGTGACAATTGCGACATCCGAAGGCATTGGTGTAGTTGTGATCAGCTCTATTCTCCGTACGGAAAGCGGCCATATATGCAAATGGACGGGCAAGTAGGGTGCATCTACTTGATGACAAATTGGCGGCTGCATCCGAAAAGAGATATTACATTAATTTATGCAGGAGTATTATTAAGAAATTAAAAACTAAAATGTTAAATGATTCTTAGATACAGCATAAATCCTATAATGTTTGCGTGCATTGCGTAAACCTCATTTTAAAACTTTTATAATCTTGCTATTTATTTTCCATTTCTCAACTGAAAATGGCACAATATAATGTTTTAATTTTATATAGTATTTGAAATTAATTTGTACTTTTTTGTATTTGAATATGAATCGTGAAGTTTAAGAAGAACCCCGACGAGTGCTACGGGAGTTCAAGAATCTTATTATATGCAGTTCCAAACGCCCCCAAAAAATATTATGTAATCCGACCTGACAATTTTAGCTCCTTCGTCTCTCGCATGACTGATCGTATATTTTCTTAATAATTTGTACCGACCCTCGAATAAAACCCTCTTTTTCCACTGCGGAGGGCCTGCGAACTTTGATTTTTATGCCTAATCCAAGCTGGCATTTGACTAGGCAGTTTTATGTTCCCTAATCCACCTCTTAAATATTTTTTGGAAATTTTTGGGATTTTGTGGTTTTTTATTTGGGTTTTGTGGTGGAAGTTGTTTGGCGGGATTTTTCATTATGAGTATTTTTGAGGTGGAGTTTTGGGTAACTTTCCCATTGCAACATCATAAACACACTTTGGAGAGCGTATTTTTGGTCTGTGAGATTATTATGATAGCAGAGGGGAGGATCAACTCAGGTAGTGGAAGATCTGCCAGCGGACTCAAGCACGGAACCGCGAATCAATAGAAGAGAGAGAGAGAGATTGTAATAGATGTCGAATAAGGATAAATTTATATTATAAGCGCATATTGAGAACCGATATTGAGATAAATAGACTTGGAATATGGATACGGAGAGAGACATAGAGAGGATAAGAGAGAGAAGCGAGGATAGGGGCAGTCCGACGCGGTTTTTGTAAGGCCAGGAGATGTTTTAAGCTTTCCGGGTCGAAAAGCTCCGAGTAGGAGGTTTGTTTTGGACACGTGTGTCATGGTAGACTTAGCAGAGCGGAGTAGCGTGGAGAGGAGGCGGCTGATCCAGTGATCGAGTGAGGGCGAGAGAGTACTTTTCTATGTGCCGGCACACCGAAGCATTCGAAATATATTGTTGTAGGCCTTGAAGACCCTTAAAATATGAAACGTTTAATAAAGCAAATATATCCGGTTCGTCACTAACCTGGTTATATTTGTTAATGCGGTTCGACGACCTGTCGACTTTCTATTTGCACCGTATAGAAGGATCAGATTTCGAACCTGAATTCACTTGTCTTTTTTGTTTTATAAATAGGCCTTAAAGACCTAATTGAATTGGTAATTGAACCATCACACTTAGATATATAATAGGCTTGTCTAGCCTAAGAGTGAAACAGATGATGCGTCAGAGCAAATCGTTATATTTGTCTGAGGAAGTTCGAACCTTTGTGATCCTATTGACCCCGTATATGGAGGATCGGGTTCGACACTAATATTATCCACTTGTTTCAACCACCGCGCAAGCATCCCTAGATCGTCACGTGTATATCAAAACACGCTCGCCTGGGGCCCATGCAGGTTCAATTGTTTTACCCTTTAGTTTTACCATTGTGTATACAAACTATTTGTGCGAAGTGCAC